CCCTCTGGTTGGAACCGGCTCCGGTTCCAATGCATTGCGGGTACGTGTCCTTCAACATAGACACGACCATATTCTTTCTGGCCATTCCGGGCAAAATCACACTCTCAAACTTGTACGACGCGACTACACCTGGCCGGAGTTGCAGACCTTCGTCCGTGACTATGTGCAATCTTGCGTTCTTTGTAAACGCAACAAGAAGCCTCGACATAGACTGTTTGGGTTACTTAAACCCCTTCTGGTGCCGGAACGACCTTGGCATTCTATTTCGATGGATTTCATCGAGGGCTTACCAAAATCTGGCAAGTTTGACCCTATCCTAGTCATCGTTTATTGTGCCTCCAAACAGGCTATTTTCATTCCTTACGACAAACACGTTAACTCAAAAGATCTAGCCCACTTCTTCCTTATCCACGTCTTCTCTAAACACGGAGTCCCTTCCCATGTGTCTTCGGACCGTGGATCGGAGTTCGTGTCCGTCTTCTTCCGGTCATTAGGCGAGTTACTTAACATGGAGCTTCACTACACTTTGGGTTGGCATCCGTCAGCTAACGGGCAGGTCGAGCGCGCTAAATTCATCCGCATGTACGTCTCGTACCAACAAGACGACTGGGACCGCCTGCTTCCGCTTGCTGAATTCGCCTACAACAATACACCTAACGTGTCAACCGGAGTCTCTCCGTTCTTCTCTAACAAAGGCTACAATCCATCTCTTACCATTCATCCTGAACAAGATGTGGCTAATGTTTACGCCAAGGACTACGTTGTTGACTTGGAATCCCTTCACGAGTTTCTTTGAAAACAAATCTCCCCCGCTCAGGAGCAGTACAAAGAAACGGCAGATGGCAAGCGCACTCCAGATCGGATCTTCGAGGTTGGCGAAAGTGTCTACGTTAGCGCTGAACATATTTCTACCACTTGCCCGACCGCCAAATTCTCTGAGCAGTACCTAGGACCCTATGAGATCATCGCCAAACCCTCCTCCACCTCCTATACACTCCGCTTGCCGCAAAAGCTTCGCGGAGTTCATCTGGTCTTTCACGTCTCTCAACTCGAAAAGCACTATCCTAATCCATTCCCGACTCGTAACAGACGAGCCTCCGGCTGCGGTTGAAGTTGATGGTGAACAATATTTCGAGGTAAAGGCTGTGGTTGACTCTAAAATTGACTGTCGCTACCGGGTTCAGCTCCGGTACTACGTGGAGTGGTTGGGCTACGAAGATACTGACGAGCAGTATACGTGGGTTGGTGCTGATGACTTAGAAGCTCAAGAGCTTATCGACAGTTTTCACCGTCAACACCCGGACAAGCCTGGGCCGGACTACTAATCCTTTCCGGACTCCCTCCAGTTTTTTGCTTACTCGCTCACTCACACTCGTTTTCGGACTCATTGCGGATTTCTATTCTATATACAAAGGCCATTTTCTATCTACAATTGGCCATTTGACTACCTACTTCTTCTTGCTAGGTCCTTGCTCCTCACCCGTAGAGGGGGCAATTTGACAAATGTCTAGCTAAAGCTAGCAGAAAACTTGTCAAAAAAGCCAGTTATAAGCAGGCTAGCAATAGTTAGTGACATTTGACAAATGCTAGCACTTAATTTTGAAATAATGACTTAATTAAATATTTATATTAACAATATGACTATATATATGGTACTTTAAACTCCTTTTCTTCAGGCCGATGACCCGGTATATAGTGAATAAGGCTAAAACCCAATGAGGACTAAAATGATGTAACTTGATGTAGTGATTAAAATCATTGATGGCAATCAAAATCGTTCCACATGGATGACTTTGCCTCACTGCCATCAATTACATAATGATAAGCTACCTAATAAGGTCAATAGTAATTAAATAAAGTATTAAAAACATAGTCACAAAAGTGACACTTTTAGCCTCTGAGCAAAGCTACCAGATTTGACAAGTTGTTCACTAGCAATAGCTAGCTACACTTGTCAAAAAAACTCCACCTACGGCTCCGCGCTCCGCCCGCTCCCACTCCGAAACCCTCAACGACTCGGCTATGTCAAGCGGGTTGGGTACCCGGATGACTGGCAGCACCCAGTTTGGCACCGCGATTGTCGTCGGCGCACAACGCGACCGGACTCTCTCTGGTGAGCGTCTCACTCGCCCTTTGCCTTTTCTGTCCACTTCGGACTCCTCCTCCTCCTCCTCCAAACCCGACTCTTTCGAGCCGTCACCCATGGACTCCTCCGCCTCATCGTCGAATAACGACGCAGGGTCTGCGCGCAGGCCAAAGCCCTTGCGGAAGACTCTCCGGCGTTGGCGCACCGGGCTGCTCATCCTCGTTGTCGTCACTTGACTTGACGACCGGAGTCTCGGTCCTCTGGCATTTTTTTGCCCTCTCCCTTGCCGTATCGGCCTCCATCTCATCGACCAGACGGCGGAGTTCCTCCTTGTAGGCGCGCTCGTTTGCAGCCTGAGGATCCTCCGCCTCTGGCGACGACTCCTGCCTCCAACCACTTCCCTCGCCCTCCTGGCCCTCTGGCTCCGGCAACCCCAGCTGCTCTCCACTTGTGCCCGCCTTCAGCTTGTTGAGCTCGTTGAACTCTTTTCGCAGCATCACGAGATGCTGGCCCTGCTCGTTGGCAAGCTGCGTCAGCATCGCCTCCTTCTCCTTGCTCTTCTTGAGCTCGGATCGGCTCCGCTCGAGCTCCTCGCGCTGGGCCTTGGTCAAGCCAGCTTCGCTATAGTGGCAGGTTAGTTGGAGTGGTTCCGTTGGCTAACTACGCACCCTTTTGGTCTTACTGACCGCTTGGCCTTCGGAGCCTTTCCGGGCCAGTTGCACCCCATCTTGATCTTTGTGCACGGAGTGCAGGAGACGCTGTTGCTAAGCGTCTGGTCGACGCAAGTCTTGCCTCCAGCAATGCATCTGTAGCAGGCTATAAATCGGTTAGTACGGGTCTGTAAGCTCCGCAACGGAGTACTCACGGACGGCTCGTTCTGCCATGGTGATGGTACGAAGGAAGGAGTTGGGTCCGTCATCAACGAAAACCCACGCCTTATATACCACGATTCGGCACTCCCAACAACCTTTTGATCATCACCTCCGTCTCCGCCAATTCATTTGCTGCGCCACGCTGCAGCCCTGCCACCATTCAATTTTAACTTCCGCATGGTTCTCCATCGAATCTTCTGGGCTCTCGCAGGCCTCGTGCCTAAGAGGGGGATACTGTCATATCCGTGCATCCACCAAGAGCCGCGGCCCGCCGGGCTCCGGCCTGATCCGATCCGGTCGCTCCGGCGACCTTGTACTCTGTATGTCCTTCGCCTTGTTACTTATACCTCCGTATGTCCTTATGCTTATTACTTTTCATATGCACTCCGTACCTTGTACTTACTTATGGTCTTCCCTTTCTACTTACTCGTAGTATTTAAACAGCTAAAGTAGCTACGGTACTTTAGCTTGATTATAAACGTTACTTGCACTCCTCCTCTGTGCGGAACGACTCCAATAACTCTCCTCTCTTCTCTTGTCCTTCAACCGGACTTCTCTCCGCTCCGACTCCGCTCCAGTCCGGTTGGTCTTGTGTTCATTCGTGTCAGGCAGCTACTGGCTTGTTAGCTATAGTAGAAACCCCCTCTGTTCTGCATGGCACTTGACAAAGGGGTTACATATACTTGCATATTCTGCGTAGCGCTGTAAGGTCCATAGTACTGTGTGTGTATATAGCAGCTATGATGAGCTATGCTATGCTACAGTAGACTAACCATAGATACCACCTGTGACTATGGAGTGCTATGACAGTGCTATATAGTCGGCACCTTGCCTACGGAGCTACAACTGCTATTGAAGCCTCTGTAGCGCTATTGAAACAGGAACCGTGCTACTCAACTGAGTCGAGTCGAAACGCCTCCTTGCCGATATCCCTAACCAGCCATTTGGGACTTATGCTAGTTCTTAGACATGCGCTGTACCCATGAAACAAACGAAAACAGTGGTTTTCTGTGTGTGTTCCAAAATGCGGCTTATCAGTGCCATCCAGAACTGTGGTTCAAATGGCGACCACACTGAAATCGTTCAAAGACACTGATCATCAACACAATAATGTACAAAACTACTAATGAGAAAAGGATCTCAAGCCAACCATTGTAGGTGGCGACTTCACTCCTACCTACCACAATGTAACAACCCTCTTTGGTGATGGTACTATACCACGCCACTGTCCTTATCTCTGCTGAAGACAGAGACCGCCAGTGACACTGTCTCCCACATTGCCAACCTCCAATTTTTGGTCTCCTCCCAGTTGATCAAGCCATTTACAGACCAAGCACAGAAGGAGAATTCCAAATTTATAAGGGGTCCTACACTATGTCGAATAGATTTATTCAGTGATCACTCTTGAAATTTGTTCCTACTACAAGTAATGTATTGTTTTATGGAATCACCATATATAATAGATCATATAGGATATCTATCAGAAGCAGGGCTCAATCAGATCCAGAATAGTACTATTGGTGAGTACATAGACTGGGAAAATAGCTATGATCATCCATCTCACTATATTTGAATATTCTGTGACTATAATATAGTATTGCTATAATATAACATAATAGATTCAAACATAATATATTCAAACATAATCATATTCAAGAGATCAACAAAGGGCATAATATATTCATAATATTCTGAATGTATTCAATATTTAATCAACCATAGTATAATTCTAGCCAGCATTATGCTGAAGGCCGTCGGCGTGGGCATGTGTGTCATCGTCCGACGGCGCCCGAGGGCAGCAGCCTCGGACACCCCCCTCAAGAGTGCGTGCCTCCCGGACCGGTGCCGGTGCACTTGATGACGGCGACTAATGGGGCGCACATGTACAGGTATAACTGGCAGAGCATTGGTTTTGCCACGCTGTAGACGGAACCTGTCGACTTGATGTCGTTATTATAATGTAACGCTACTAACGCAATCACTAGTACAATTCAGGGTCATTCTACACATTTTGTTTTCGGTTTGTACACAGTACAGTACGGCTACGCCTGCCCGCGTTCCCGGCGCCACTTCCAGCCCTCGGGGTCGAGGTGCCTGATGAGCGCGCCCTTGCCCTTGAACGTCTTGCGGCAGTAGAAGCACTCGACAGTCGTGTTCCCGCCCGTGAGGCGCTGCCACGTGGTCGGCGGCGCGCGGGCGCTCCATGCGAAGCTGACGAGCGCGTCGGTGAGAGGGATGTCCATCGGCGCAAGGTTGTACGCCGCGGGGCAGCGCGACGCCGCCGGCGAGGGCGGGGAGTCCCGGGCGGGTGCGGCCGGCGCGGATTTCGGCGCACTCCGGACCCGGGCCGGAAGTGACTTGCGTTTTTCGGGCGTGCGCGGCATCGGCGGGGGCCGGGCGATCGTGCTCTCGAGCAGCTGCCGTTCGCTAATTGGCCTCAAATAAGCACAAGCTATGTGAGGAAGGGGGAAAAAACACACGCGATGGCACGCTTTACGCGGCGCTCGAGGATGGCTGCGAGCGAGCGCTCGTCGTCGCTTGTTAGTGGCGGCCAAAGCGAGCGGTGGACATGAACGAGCGCGGGGTCACGCAGCACGCGCGGGTCGGGCGTGGTGCGCAGGCTGCCGGTACTACTTGCGGAAGTGGAATAGGTGGAAAAGGATGTGGTGGAGGTGGGTGACGCGGGCGGGGACGACGACGACGCGGTAGACCGGGAGGTCCGCGGGGAGGACGCGGGGGAGTATTGGAAGCCCGGGTACTGGCGCTTCAGGTTGTACGAGGCCATAGGGTGTGGTGGGTGGTCGGAGCGACAAAGGTTTAGGCGAGCAAGAGTCGATAATGAGTGTTTCGCGTGGGAGCGGCACGGCGCGGCGTTAAGGGTTAACGAGAGAGTGGTTATGGGGTCGCTACTGTGGAAGGCTGTCGGTGGTGTTAGAGGGATTTCGCAGCTACCGACGGGGGTTATATAGCGCAACACCAGACAAAGCGCATAGACCGCTGCCAGAGTGCGGCGGGAAGCCTACAATGCGCATTGTGAACGATGCACAATAAACGGGACAAAGCGCAGGATCGTTATAGAACCTAGAGGATGGCGGTCGCCGTCTTGGCGTCGAGCCCAGAAGACCACGATTGGCTTCTCGCTGCACAGCGCGAATTCCGAGCGGAGGGCCACGTCGTAGAAGAAGGTAAGAAGAAGAAGAGAATGACGGCATCACTACTGCGGAATGTCACAGATGTGACAGATCGTGAAGTGAGCACATCAAATTGAGGATGATTCAGAATAGTTGGAAAATTTGTGGAAAATAGTGCTACTGGGATTTGCAACACTCCGGAGTTTGCCGCAAGTTTACCGTGAATCCGAGTCCTGCTCCCGAAAGTTGTTTTAAAAACTTAAAAGTACTGGATTTTGAATGATTTAAATCATAAATTTGGGCTTTACTTGCCTTCTGACAACTTTCCCAAGTTGTTTCCAAGGAGAAACACTCTAAATAAGTCCAGTGAGCTCAACACCTTCCCCCAGCTGGTGTGATCATGAACAACTTGGATAATCTTGCTCTCCGACGACCTCGGCTTGGCGCTGTTTGGCAGTGACAGCTGATGCACCGCCACCGCCACTCTTCTCTTCCGCCTTGACAACGAACGAGCATGTCTCCGCCGCCGCTGCCCACGAAGTCCGTTCACGAACCACTAGCGGTGGAAAACGGGGCGCCCCTTCACCCTGCACGACCCTCTGGCCCCACACAGACCGACTACCCCGCGTATGACGATGACGATGATGAGGCGGTGCCTCTGCGTCGGGCAAGACCGGTGCTGGACGATGAGGAGAACGCTTTGGGAGACACAGCGTACGCCCGGGACCCGCGCTTCGACCCGCCCGCGCCGTCGCCCTGGAAGCGGGCCGCGCTGCTGCTGATAATAGTCGCACTGTTTTACCTTGCGTTCCGGCTGAAGGGCGGGCGTAGGGGGTAAAGGGGGAGGAGAGAGATGAGGGTGGCGACAAGGTACGTGCGTTAGTGTGCTGAACCCGGGTGATTGACTGACTTGGTTTGTTGGTACCCAGGAGGAACGGAACACAGTTGGGGGGGGCATGAAGGACTAGACGGACGGACTTTTCGAACACTTTCTGCGCAATCATATACCATCTCAAATTCTCCTCTCCGCCTTCAATTATCTTGTGGAGAAAGGCCGGCATCCTCTATCACTGCCATCTCTCAGCCATCTACTCCAATGGGCCCTCTCCTCCAGGTCGCATGAACCGCATCACCTTCTACGCGTCTCCCGCCATTGCGCCGCTCGTCCACACCTTGGTTGTGACGGGAGCGAAAGGAAACCTGATTAACTACTCAGCACATACGCTGTTTCTCGGAGATCGTTCAAGTTGCCTGTCTGCGACGCTCCTCCTCATTCACGTGTTTACGAGGTCCTCTGGTGACCCGTTGACCCCCCGCGCGGGGGCGGCCCAGCTGAAGGGCCCGCTGTGTCTCCATATGAGCCGGTTCTTCCTGACGTGGCATCAGACGCCCGCTCCCGCCCCGCGGCTAATGCAATCACACACTTTTTTCAAGTTTCGCTGACTGATTTTTGTGCAGAGGTTATTGCGGGGCTGGGGAGGAGCCCGAGGGGATCTGGAAAAAAAGCGCGTATGCAGCAGATCGCGGGACGTGTACATACTTAGTTGCGGTTTGCATAAACTCCTGGTCAGCGGCGTGGGTTGATCAAACAACAGACAGTGGACCGCAGGCGCTGGTGGGCAGCCTTCATCACCGGAATGAGCCAGACAAATGCGAGCTGACGCGTCGGACGCGCTTCCGTTGGATGAGGCGATCCTGATGCTGTGGCGTCGGCAGGCAGCCGTGTCGCTCCCGTTGGCGTTTGACCGCAGTAGCCCGTCACGTCGGGATCTTCGTGTCGATCGGTGCGCATCCCGCTCTCCTGCCAATTACCTGCCAATGTGCGATAGAATATATTCCCCGCCGATCCGGGGCCCTATTTTTCCAGCCCACACATCACGCACTCGGGATTGTCGGGCGACACGACGCGGGCCCTAACCCCCGATATTTGGCGGAAACTCGCGATTTCGGTGTCATCTATCTGAAGTGCCTGGAATTTGGCAGACGCATGCCGATCGAGCAAATCGGGAGGTCGTTACGACTTAGCGCCGGGCGTCTCAAGCTGAGTGTATATAACCATGCACTGTATCCTCTTCTCCGTCCCCCTGTGTCAGCCCCGTCCTGCTCGCTACCACCAGTGTGCGATGTATGCTTATGCTTACAGTTCTGCCAGTGAGGCGGGACCATCCTCTTTTCTCCATCAAGAGCTTATCGCCAGCGGCAGTCAGCGACGGCCACCACAGCGCCGGCGAGACGCCCTCGGGGGTAGCAATGACACGCTGCGGACGTCGCTCGCCTGCATCAACTGTCGGCGGCGCAAGCGCAAGGTGTGTCCCCCACTTGCACACTTCCCCGCGCCGATGTTCATCATGTTTCACAGTGCGTGCCCTCGACAAACCCCGCCTCTGTCTCCTGCATCCGCTGCGAGATCTTGCGCCGCCCCTGCGTGTACCCTCCCTCAAGTTGTCCGAGCGCCGGCGACGACCCACAGCCGCGGTTTCTCCCGGCGGTCACGCCGATCAACTTCGCCGCGATGCAATGTCCAGAGCCTAACGCGCCGCCGCTTCCGTACACAGGCCCACCCCCGCTCCATGCGGTGCCGCGCTACTCAGACGGAACACCATATCCTGATCTTGCACTTTATCATCCGAGTCATTATCGCGTCGATGGCGGGGAGAGCTGACTTGGGACTCGGAGGGAATGCTTACACCGGAATAGGGATTCGATTTCGGAGTTTGTGTTGCTGCTGCTGCATAGGTACATACTTAGCTACATTCGGAAGAAATGTGGAAAATTACTTGCTACCTGAACTCAATTCCCTATTTCGCCTTTCTAAGACACTATTCCTTCAGGTACACACACCACAAATTTAAAACCTTCTTTTCCAACACGAGGGTGCTGTGAGTAACTCATTACTCACACCTGTTTCGAACCCGGTTTCGGGAAACAGGTGGTCTGGGTAAGGTAATCACTCTCAGGCTCGGCCCGCCGGCCACTTGCCAGTAGACCGATGAAAAAGGAGGAAAGATACTTAGCAGGTGTCAAAGCCGCTGTCAGGGGAACCTCCCTTTCGGCCCCTCGGAGACGATCCCGATTCCGGTCCGACTCCGGTTCCGACTCCGGTGATCGCATCACCGCCTCCGTCAGGCGCATCGCCGCCCCCGCCTGGCGATCCCCCTGGGACCTGGCCTGCGACATGGCGCAGGCATACTGCACGGAGCAACGATCAACCTTGGCGCGTCAAGAGCGCAGTATATAGTTCCGCTACCTAGCAGGCGGACCCTTAGAGTTTCTTCTCTTTGGATCCTCCCCTGCTAGGTCAGCTTCATTTGTATTTGCTTACCAATGTTCACCCTTTGGATCCTCCCCTGCTAGGACCTTGATCTCAGGCCTCCGGGGTTGCCCTTACAGCAGAAGAAACTCTCTACGGGATCAACCGGACAAGATTGCTAGGTTCGGCGCTGACTCAGGCTCGGAATACGAGTCCGTTCCGCCCTCGTCACCGCCCCTACCACTTGTCCCCTCCTCCTCTGTCACTCCTGTCGTCCCCCGCACCTGTCATGCCTTCCGGAGCTACTCCTGACGCTGACACTCGGCTGGATGCACTCGAGGCGAAAAATCGACCGCCTAACTGAGGCCCTTACTTTTCTCACCACCCAGGCTTCCGCTGCCGCTGCCGCCGCTAATACTGCTGGCGGACCCCAAACAACACCACCCCCGGAGACGTCGATTCCGACTCCGACTCCGGCTCAGGGCGATTCCGAAGCCCTCTTTGGCGACATCAACCTCGCCTCAAAATTGGTCTTGCGACCAAACCCTCCGTTCACCTTCAACGGCGATCGGAAACGCGGCCGCGCGTTCCTTTACGCGGTCCGCACCTACGCCCGCCTTGCCCCTGAGGCCTTTGTGGTCAACGGAGAGGCGAGTGAGGAAAAGGCCGTCCGCTATGCCATGTCGTTTATGGCAGAAGGACCCGCTCAGCAATGGGCGGAGCGCCACGGAAGCAAAGCCCCGTTTCCGTTTCCGTCCTGGGGCTCGTTCGTTTCCGAAGTTTCGACTCCGGTTCGTCGAGGAGAACGAGCAAGATCATGCTCTCTCCAAACTGGAGACTTCCGCCTATCACATGGGCACAAAGGATGTCTACCAGTACACCGACGACTTCGAGGACCTGATGGACCTCGCCGGATTCGAAGACGCGTTGGTCAAGGTGACCAAGTTCCGCCACGGACTTGACCCCTTGATCAACAACGGAATCACGTCCTCGAACGACCCCCGGACCTCCGGGACTACCTTAGCTGGCGCACCCGGGCCTTCCGTCAATACGAGGCCCTGGTCCGGGCCAAGCTGATCAAGTCAGCCGCCCCCAAGACGCCTGGCGGTTTGATTCAGACTCCGTTTCCGGTCAACCGCATCCCGGCTCCGGCCCCTCTCCGCCCGGTGGCTCCGGTCGTGCCACCCGCGGCCCGCGCCCCCTCCGGCGCCTCCAGCTCCCGTCCCTATGGAGTTGGATCGCACCAGGGCTCGGGGTGCCCCTCGTCGCGCCTGCTTCAGGTGCGGCGACCCAAACCATCTCGCCCGGGATTGCCCCCTCCCCGGGACGTCCGCTCAATGGACATCCTCGACGAGGTGATCCAACAACTCGGTGACGAGATGTTAGCGGAGTTGATCGCCCGCTACTCGGACACAGCCGCGTTGCCGGAAACGGCTGCGGAGTCGATGGCCGGAGAGGATTTTGTCCCCCCGACGAGTGACTGGTGTGCCCTCGTTCGCGTCCATAAATCGTTTCGCTTGTTTGTATGACGAATCAATTCCTTTGCCCTACAACGAGCCTGAAACGAAAGACATACCCTCCCCCGCCCCCGTTTCGACTCCGTCTCCGACTCCGCCCATGGCTCCGGTCATCGTCCTTCGCCGCCTCACTGCCTGGGAAAAGAAATTGCCCAAGCAGTACACTGTCGCTGCCTCCCCTGGAGTGAACTCCCTCCACCTCCCGTTGGAGCTAGAGTCCACCACCAGTGCGTTGAAGCTCTCCCTTTCTGGGCTTGTTGACTGTGGTGCCACCTCCGACTTCATCGACACGAACTACGTCGCTCGGAATGGCATTCCGGTCCGCACCCTGGCGCAGCCGATTCCGGTCTTCAACGTCGATGGCACTCCGAATGATGCTGGCTCCATCAACCAGATCGCGGACTTGGTCCTACGCTACAAAGGCCATTCCGAGCGTTCAACTCGCCGTCACCCATCTCGGTAAACAAGACCTCATCCTGGGGTACTCTTGGCTGCGGAAGCATAACCCAGAGATCGATTGGGAAACCAAGGAGGTCAAGATGACGCGGTGCCCCCGCTGCTCCACTTGCCGCGAGGAAGAACGCGTTGAACGGACTGAGCTACGGCGACTCCGGCTGCTCCAGAAGCGACTCCGCTCCGGCCCGTTCCCCTCGGTCTGCGCCATGGACCTTTCTGGGTCTGATGACGGAGACGATTCCGTTTCCGGCGACGACTCCGGCCTGCCTGATCTGACGCCGGACTCTGACGACGACGATGAGACGATGGTCAGCTTGAAGATGGTGACCGCATCTTCTACACCTCGTTCCGTCCCTCGGAGGAGATACGCGCTGGCAGTACTGTCTCGCAGCGCCTGGCTGAAGCCTTCGCCAGGAACTCCGCTCCCCCCGCCTCCGAGATCCCGGACTGGGCTAAAGAGTTCCAGGACGTCTTCAACAAGGAGTCTTTCGACACGCTCCCGAACGGAGAACCTGGGACCACGCCATCGAACTCGTCCCCGACGCTAAGCCGGCCAACTGCAAGGTGTACCCCATCTCGCCCCTTGAGCAACGCGAGCTCGACGCGTTCATCGAGGAAGGGCTGTCGACGGGCCGGATTCGCCCCTCCAAGTCTCCGATGGCGTCTCCGGTCTTCTTCGTCAAGAAGAAGGACGGCGGACTCCGCTTTGTCCAGGACTATCGGGCCCTCAACGCGATGACCGTCAAAAACCGGTACCCCCTTCCGCTGATCAACGACCTCATCAACCGGCTCAAAGGCGCTCGTTACTTCACCAAACTCGACGTTCGTTGGGGCTTCAACAACGTCCGGATCAAAGAAGGTGACGAGTGGAAGGCAGCTTTCCGGACTAACCGAGGCCTGTTCGAGCCCTTGGTGATGTATTTCGGCCTGACAAACTCTCCCGCGACGTTCCAAACGATGATGAATGACATTTTCCAGGACCTCATCCTTTCCGGAGACGTCATGATCTACCTAGACGACATCCTGATCGCCCATTCCGACCTCCGGAAACACCGACAGATCGTCCAGGAGGTCTTGCGCCGACTCCGAGAGCATAAGTTGTACCTCCGAGCGGAGAAGTGCGACTTGAAAAATCGTCAATCGAATACCTCGGAGTCATCATCTCCCACAACCACGTCGAAATGGACCCCGTCAAGGTCGCAGGCGTCTCCGCCTGGCCGACTCCGGAAAACAAGAAGGATGTTCAGCAGTTCCTTGGGTTCGCTAATTTCTACCGCAGGTTCATTCGCGACTTCTCGGCCCTCGCGCGTCCTCTCTTTGCGCTCACCAAGAAGGACCAGCAATGGACTTGGGGCGACGCGGAGGCCTCCGCATTCCAAGCGATCAAGGACGCGGTCACCTCGGAACCGGTCCTGGCGATTCCGGACGACGCACGGCCTTTCCGACTCGAGGCGGACAGTTCTGATTATGCGACGGGGGCGGTTCTTTCACAATCCGCCCCGGACGGGAAGTGGCACCCTGTAGCATTCTATTCCAAAAGCTTAAATGATGTCCAGCGCAACTACGAAATCCACGACAAGGAGATGCTCGCGATCATCCGCGCACTCGAGGAGTATAGACACTTCCTCGAGGGTGCCGCGCATCCCGTCGAGATTTGGACTGACCATAAGAATTTGGAGTACTTCAGGAAGACGCAGCACCTCAACCGGAGACAGGCCCGCTGGTCCCTCTACCTCTCCCGGTTCGACTTCACGCTGCACCACAAGCCCGGTCGCGACATGGGCCGACCTGACGCCCTCTCTCGGAGACCCGACCACGGAATCGATTCCGACAACTCCGACGCGTCGTCCTTCTGCGGCCCGAACTCTTCCACGTCCGCGCACTCGAGGGTGTTTCCGTTTCCGGTCCCGGTTCCGAACTTCTTCGCGACATTCGCGATGCCCTCTCCGGTGAGCCTGACCTGGAGGAGCCCGTCGCACTAGCGGCCCGGCAACTCCTAAAGGTCCAAGGTCAAGCTCGAGGCCCCCGCTCCTCACGCTCCGACGAGTGGGCCGTCTCCGGTGGTCTTCTCCACTTCCGTGGGAAGATTGTCGTGCCCAAGGACAAGGACCTCCGGAGGCGCATCATCGAGCTCTGCCATGACACTCGAGTCGCCGGACATGCCGGTCGCTTCAAGACCTTGGAGTTGGTCTCCCGGAACTACTGGTGGCCTCAGATGTCTCGCCATATCGGCCGGTATGTAGCGACCTGTGACTTGTGCTGTCGCACCAAGGCGCTCCGGAGACTGCCCCACGGAGAGCTACACCCGACGGAAACACCCCCGGAGCGCTGGCATACCGTCTCCGTCGACTTCATTGTCGAGCTCCCCGAGGCCCATGGGTACGACGCGATCATGGTCGTCGTGGACACCCTTGGGAAGCGAGCCCACTTCTCCGAGTG